ATAAAGCATGTGAGACAGTATGTTTAAAATATTTTCAGAAAGTAATAAAATTATTTTTCTGAGTCTTGAAAAGCAAAATATTAGCTGTAAATTTCAGTGGATCCTCTTTTCACAGTAAAGCTTAAAAGAAGTAATAAGTAGAAGTAAAAATGAAAATTTTAATCATATACTGTTTTCTATCCTGTTTTGATACTTATATCAAGACCAGTAAGTCTGTAAATTTCTCTGGATCCCTACTATAATGTTTGATGTTTGCCGAACATCTAATAACTACATTGGTCACAGGTGGAAAAGGCAAAGCAAGGAATTCATGAGATGAGGGACACGGAGAAAAGTAGAATCTTGCTGATACACAGTATCATTTCATGACATTGATTTCCCAAGTGTTGCCTCATAAAAAATACTTTTTCAGGGAAAACTCTGGGAAATACATTTGTCTTTTTTGAACTGTCTTGGCAAAACTTTATTTATTTATTTAGTTAGTTTGAATTTATAGTTGGCCTAGTGTTTATGATTCATGATCAAATATAAAAATGAAACATTTTTCCCACATTATTGAAGAGTTTTTTCAAAAAAAAAAATCAATAAACTTCTCCATTTCAAGAAAATTGCTCTTCGTGTGAATGAAATGACAGCCCTGTTTTTAAAATAAAATATTTTTTATAAAAGAAAAAATAAATATTTTTTGTAGAAATAATGGAAAAGATAGAATATTAGGGAACACAAAGGAGTAAAAGCAGTTTAGGCACTTTGTTTATATTAAATTTGAATTAAAGTGTTCACCAAAAGGGATAGAGTGTTATCCTTCAGTCTACATCTTTTTTTCCCTTCTCTGGGACAGACAGCCCTGATTTCTTCTCTTGCCCAAGCTCTTGAGCTTATTGAACTTTCTGTGAATCAGTCCAGCTTAAATAATCAGTAGAAAACTATTCTGGTATTTTTGCTGGGCTATGAGTATGAAGTCAGGTAGGGTTCTTTTGACTGTCAAATCCAAGGGGAAGGGGAAGCTGCAGTACTGGTAGGAGCTGTGAGGCCCTCCTCTTCTAATTATAAAATCACAGAGCCAAAGAATGTCTGAGCTGGGAAGGGACCTCAGTAAGTCATCTGATCCAACATCCCCTGGTCAAGCACTACAGCCACATGCCCAAGACCATGACACAACTGCTTTTGGATATCTCTAAGAAGAGAGACTCCAGAACCTCTCTGGGCAACCTCTGCTGCTTGGTCAACCTCACAGTAAAGAAATTGGAACTTAGAGAAGGAGGACTTCTAATACAAAATTTTATAAAAGTACAATGTTCTTCTGAACATAATATGATAAAAATGTGTTAGGTAATTGGTGCTATGTAACAACTTCTTTCACTTTCCCATTGCCTTCTCACTGCTGATTACACAAACAGCTCACACATATTGTGGCCCCCTTCTGGAGGGGGCCATCCATAGTTAGTATCATAGGTGGGGTTAATGTTTGTCACTGAAAGGTGTTTCTATCTTCCCACTCCTACTAGATTAGCTGCTAATCTCGAGTAATTGGGAAATTCATTAAAACAGCTATAGTAACAGGAACGAAACTGAAAAATCTCATGATCCTATCATATTCAAAAAGACAAGCTAAAAATAGGGGGTCTGGAAAAAATGCCTTCTAATTATTGTCCCTAAATTCAGTCTTGTCTTGAAAGGAGTCATGAAAATTCTGGCTAATTTCCTCTGTCATCCTACTTCCTAGCCAAATCCACTTTCTTGCTCTTTCTGATTAATTCATCCTCAATCTATTCTTCATTAAAACTACCACCAATGTGTGTAGATTATATGTTACTACTCAAAGCTAATTCAGAGTTTATATTTATTTGTAAAAGTTCATATAGCAAGCTAATTATAACTTCTACCTCTGAAGTTAATACAGATGAAATGTTCAGTGTATGGTTTTTAGAGAAAACATGATACTTTAAATACTTCAGTTTACCTGCTTTTTTTTTTTTTTGTTTTGTTTTGTTTTGTTTTAACTCAAATTGTTTTTACCTTGGCATTAAAAAAATCCCTAAGAAGTAATCTTTACAATACATAGATCATGTGAAGGTGTACAAGCTAGTTCTTATTCCTTTTTCTGATGGACTACTTACAAAATATTTCCAGAAGAGACACTATTGTAATTCTTTTAGTTACAAAAAGAAGAAAAAAAAAAATCACTGAGGACTCAAAGCCTATATATGAAGTAGAAATCTTCCTTTTGTAGCCTTTTGTGTTTTCAGAGACAGGAAATATCAGACGTTGTGTGATATGTTATTTTTATAGCAAACAGTACTCAAACTCAGGCTTTTTGCTACTGATGCAGAATGACGCCACAGGAAACTACTCAACGGCTCCCACAGAAATTTCAGGAACATTGAATCTATGAATAAATATATAAACACAAATGTATTCATCTACAGCTATCCATTCATATGTGAATATACATATGGACTGCCATTTCAGCATGTATTCATATACCTACAGGTGACATGATTGCTGGTTCCTTTCTCGGCCCCCTCTGTGTTGTTCTAACAAATTGCACAAGAATTCTACAATACACACAGTCATTTGACATCCAGCCTACTTAAAAAAATATATCCATATCTAGTTGGATGATAGAACAAATGTCACAAATACACCTTGAATCATGAGCTTATTGTTAAACAAAAACACAATGCTGGCATTTTACCAGTGCTGTAAACCATGTTTTGAGAAGATCTTACGATAAGCAAAATTGTGTACTTCTGTGACAGGACCAAGGCTTTCAAAGACCTTTACAAATCCTAAAATTCTCACAACTTTCCTTTAAGGAACATTGCTGGGCATTATACATTCAACTGATGAGCAGATTAACATTAGCTTGTCTGTGCTAAGAGAGTATTTCCATTATTTTTCCCATTTGCTAATATTCTTTACTTTTACCAGCAAAGTGAGCACTCTGATTTAACTTGGTTACTGTGCTACTACAATTGCCAGAGGAGGTACTTTACCTAGAGGCAATCAAGGCAAGCTTATCCTCGTGAAGTGTCAACCTCCACTGTGGAAAAGGTCCACTGGAGAAGGTTGTCTCATATTTTCTAGTACAGTATTCTTGATCTATGTCCCAGTTGTCCCAGCAACATGGGTTAGCTTCAATATTTCGAAATAAGGTTTATTTATAACCCAGTTGTTATTTGGAACTAGATTTGGGAAGAAACATATAAGAAGGGACACAGCATTTGTGGTTCCCATTTATCAGCTGCAGCTAAAATAATGGTACTTGGAATATATTGGGATAATAAAAGCACTGCTGACAGTTTGCTTATTTTCTCCTAATATCAGCAAATAGAATGGACTTTAACAGTTAGGAACTACTACTAACCCCAGGTCTCAGCAACAGTTACAGAGATAATCAGCAACTACATGCTATAACTCTAGTTCAGTTTCTATAATGGTAGTGTACCAAAGCCCTTTGTAGAACCTTGAAAAAAACTTGGGCCCAGACTCTAAAGGACATTTGAGTACCTAACTGATCCTTAAAAGAGATAAAAAATGTATGGATAGGATTTTAGTTCTTGGACACTGACAGATCTTTGTCTACAATACTTCCTAAATGTAAAGAAAACATTTTGCTGGCAAATATAAGAGCTAAATGTTTCATGAAAAGAGCTGCATACTCTATCTTTCTAAACTGAAATATCTCCTAGACTAAAATATCCTACATAATTTCCTTTCCCTTAAGTAAAGAAGAAGCAAGGAAAACAGACAAACAAACATATACACAAAACACTGTTTCACTATTTGAAGAGAGGGTCCAATGCAAGGCCTGTACTTGCTTTGAGGTAAAAACTGAATCTTCAGTGAATGAGCTCATGAGAAGTTCACTCCTTGAGTTCCTCTGCTAAATAAGATTATGTATTAACGAAATACACCCTTTGTAACAATGACATTCAATGCAAATTAGTTTTAATTTATGGGTTAGTTGATTTATAGACTGTTTTAGCATAACCCACTTAGACTTACAAAAAGTACTTTGCTTTTCTACCCAATGTCTGAAATGATCAAAATAATTTCTTTTTCTTCTGCTACATCTTCATCTTCTGAACATTTTAAAGGGGAGCTTATCACATTCCTTTTTGAACACCTGATAAAACCAGCTGATGTATATGTAAAACAAGCAGGTAACCTTTTCCACAAAGTGGTGGACTGCACATGGCAGTTGGGTTGCTTCAGAGCACATAGCAGAGGGTAGAGCTGCTGCTGCAGTGAGTAGGAAGGTTCAGTTTGCTGGGAACATGCTGCTTTGCTGCCCTTTTTACTTCAGAGTGATGATTATCGTGGCTCCACCTGCCTACAGCATACAGTATGCACTGTCCAGGATATCAGGTGAACGTTTATCAGCAAGAAGGAAGGGTTGGGGGGAGAGGTGACAACCTTCTAAGAGATTTTATGTTGTAACCAAAAGAAGAAAAAAAAAAGGACACAAAAAGAAGACACAGAACCTTCGTAAGCTACCACATCTTAACGAAGAGCTGCAAGCAGATCTAAATGAAAACCCCAGACCTTGTAATTTCCCCGATCACCGTTGGGAGAGGGGCTTTCTGGTGGACAGAGATAAAAGCTGGCTTGTGAAATCTGCTGTATTGTCAGAGCTCAGCAAGACAGATCCTAACGCAATTTGGAAAAACGTGCATTCCCTTTGTGGCAATCGGCTGGGGCAGTGGGTCTGGCGGAGAGGCTGCCTCGTTTCGCTGCGCATCGCAGTCACCCGAGCGGAGACTCGTGGATCTGTCTCCTGCTTATCCATAGCCGAGCTGAGCACGGATCCCGGGCTCCGCCTTGGACGTGCCTGCGGGAGCGCCCCAGCCTTGGCCCCTAGCACCAGAAACTCAAGGTCACTTCCTTCCAAGCCCCGTGTGCTCAGAGCCGAGCCGGGACGGCTGGCACAACCCACAGCCTGCTGTCACCGTCCCGGCGGAGCGGAGCTCCCCAGCCGGTCTCTAGGGGTGCTCGGTCGGGAGTATCATCGCTACCTGCCCACTGTCAGGAAAGCTCCGCCCCCGACATTTCGGGAGCAGTTTGATATAGGCAGCTCGGGGCAAGCAGCGGGATCCCAGCTCGAAGCATCTGCCTATGCACGGAGCCCCTGACCCCTCCTTGGCCGCTCCTCGCTGAGCAGGACCCGAGCCGGCCGGTGGCCGGGGAGGACCCGCGCCGCTGCGGGCTCAACGCACCGCTGTCCCCCGCTCCGCAGTCCCTGCGACAGCTTCTCTGGGGGGGAGACAAGGACCTCTCCCACAAGGACCTCGCCCACAAGGACCTCCGAAGAGGCGGGATTTCTCCGGGAAGAGGAAACGGGATTTTGTTGTGTGACTTGGAGATGAGACAGGTATCTAGTGTGGGGTTGCTCCTTGGGCTCATGGCTCTCCCAGCGGCGCTAGGAGAGAGAAGCTCAGAAAGCCCTCCAAAACACAACCAGACCAGCTTTGAGATCGTCTCTTTCAAATGGGATCACGTCAAGGACCCTTATGTCATTGTTCTCTGGATCCTTGTGGCCAGCTTGGCCAAAATTGGTGAGTCCCACGTTATATATTAATTAATGCATGCATCCTCCTCCTTCCCCTTTTTCCCATCTACCAGCACTGTAAATGAAGAAAGTTTATCATAAGTCCACTCACCCCTTCGCAGGGGGTTTACTGTACTCTGTTCTGATTTCATAATACTGCCTGAACATAGTGCTTAGCAGTGTAATTTTCACCTTTCCCAGTCGGTGAAGTAGTTCATTTTCAATGCCTAGGACTCTGGCTTCTGTATCTGACTCCTTGCAAATCCTTGCATGCTTTGAAACCTTGCATTACTGTTGCTCTCGGGAAAAACTTTTTACAGACATGAAACAAGAATAGAGCCTAACTGCTTATACAATGCCTATTCCAGTTGACAATATGCTATCCTCCTAATTTTAATTGGTAGTTGTATTAGCTATTGTCATCACAAACAAAGAGTGTAAATCCCACGTATGGGCGTAACTTTCTCTGTTTTGCGGCAGCATTGTTGAAGTAGTGAAAGAGAATAAGAAAGTTTATTATCAGCTATTATCAGGTCATCTTTTGCAATATAAACCTTAGAATACATATCATTTTCTTCAAGAAAATAGAGTAATTGAAAAGCAAGGATGTAGACTAATTCAAATGTAGTATGAGTAAATTTATATGAATTGTGTAACTCTTGTGTTCTGAACACTGGAAGAGCTCCAAAAGCAATCTTATACTAACAGTGTTATTTGCTGAACTGGAAAAGTGGCTAATTGGAACGTATTTTATTTACATGATGCTGTTATCTTCAGGTCATAGAATCATAGACTATCTGGAGTTGGAAGCGACCCACAAGGATCATTAACTCCAACTCTTGGCTCCACACATTACTACCCTAAAAATTAAACCATATGTCTGAGAGTGGTGTCCGTCAGGCTTGGTGCTGTGACCACTCCCCTGGGAAACCTGTTCCAGTGCCCATCCACACTCTCACCTGTTTCTAATATCCAGTCTGAATATCCCCTCATGCAGTTTCATGTCATTCTGTTGGGTCCAATCACTGGTCAAAGGCCATTTATCTTTTGTATCTAAAACTAGACCACTGTCAGTTTGGCTGATACTTTCACTGTCATTTTCAAGGTTCAGTAAATGATTCCTAAAATAATTCTCAACTCAGAAGGCAAGATCAGCTGAAAATCATGCTAATTTATTGTACTTGTATTGTTAATACTAATCTGAGATACCAGAATTATATACCATGGATTTTGCAAATCACACAGAATGAAAGATATAAACAGGTCAGGTATGCTGTAGAGTATAAGCTAAATGCAGTCAGGCTTGGATAGAAAATGCTGTGTCCACATCCAAATAAACCCAAAAGAAACTTTTTTAAAAATGAAGAGAAAGTCTATTGTTAAGCATTTTTTTAGTGATACTTGCATCTTAGGTTTCTGTTGCTTACCCATATACACATAAGCCAAATATCCTCATTTGAATCACTGTTGAATTACACTTATGGAATATTACAGATGATTGCTACATTATCTAGATTACATAAAAATACAGCTTTGATTTAATCGACTCTGACTGATTGGTTATATCAAGTAGAAAACTGGGGGTACCAGATACAGGAAAAACTAGTGACATTGTTGAGTCACTGTAAATTTGTGCTAATTAAGCTAATACACAGGTTGTTTGTTTGAACCTTCTTTTTGAGATACTCTTCTAAATTAGCGTTTGCTCTCTGTGTCATTAATGCTTTGCTGCATTCTATATGTAACAAAGTTATACAGAATAACATTAGTCCTGCACAGCTGTAGCAATTTTGTGGCAGAAACCCAATGCAGCTAACAGGACTGTTAGATTGTTCTATATTTAAATTGCAATGGCCTGGATTATGATTAGCCTGGATTAAGATGAGCCATTTTACTGTGAAATCCTCAGTATACCTATAAGTGCTTGATAAAGCACTAAGTGTTCTTGGAGTTCAGGAGCTGAATGTTGCTGGTTTTATTTTTAAATTATTTGCATTTATTTCGCAGTTACACAGAGCATGTTATTTACTAGTAAGTACTGTATCCATCATTTTCCCTCCCCAAGCTCTCAAGCCTCATACTCTTTTTTTTTTTTTTTTTTTTTTCTTCACATATGTAATTAAAAGTCTGTACAGCCTTGTACATTGTCTCTGAAGAAGCAGTGGACAACTGCTGTATTCCACTGAGGGCCTATGAATGACCCTGATTTCCCCCCCAGTCACAAATAAGATACAGATGATCAGAAATGTACACTCACTGCTCAACAGCTGATTGATGCAGAACGTATAAAGTTGTTCATATAAGTCAATGAGAAAGGGAAATCAAATTCTGTTGGCCTTCTACCTGTCTGGGTGTGTCAAGGATTCTAGAAAGTATGCCAGAAATCTATCAGAAGATTTTGAAGGTCAAAAATGTTATGCAGGACCAAGAAGATCTATAAATTTAAAAAGCAGACAGAAAAGAACTGGGGAAGAAAATATAGAATGTCTGCCTCTATGTCTCTTGATTTGTTACCTGAAGGAGGGCAAACGTAGTGGAGTTAAAATGCTGTTTTTGTTCTGGATATTTCAGTAGGGGGAGTAGTTCTTATACATGAAAGCTCACATCTCCATGGCTACAGAGGACGAGAGAGATACATTACTGGTGGAGTGCTGACTGGCAATTGGGTTAGCACAAAGTCTTCTGGGAATTGCAAACTGGGGGTGAAAGGAATATGAGAATACTTTGCCTTCGTTTGCATTACAATAATCTCAAATTTTCTGTTTCTTTTGTTTCATTTTCCCTAAAAGGAATGGTTCACTTTATAATGCTATAAGGCTTGATGGAGGGCTCCTTTAATAATAAATACTTGTGGCTCTTCTGGGACTTGTTATTCCTGTGCTGTACAGGAAGTAAATTTAGTGCTGTCAAAGTGTTCTGCATCAGAAACTATTTTATGTGAAATCTCATAAGCATATCAACTACACAAAAAGGTCCTGAGTGTTCTGGGTTTGGTGTGAAAGATGTATTCTTGTTTCCCTTTTTATAATTTTCATGTGAAGAATGAATCTTAAGTATTGCCACAAATAAAACTGGAAGAACAGTCTTCATACTGTTGGCTTTCATGCACTATAGGAAATCAACTAATTTTTGTGTTACTAGTACAAAACTTCTGATATATCACATTGTACTGTTTTGCATATTATGATTGATTTGATTTGACCATCTTCATTTGAAATGTTACAAGACTATTCTAAGGTACACAGTGTTCCACCTAATTATCTTTATTTCCTCTTGATAGGCTTTCTTATCACTACAAATGAGTATCCTTATGGGATAAGGCCAATAAACAACTCAAATCTGTAAAGCTAAGTCTGAAAAATATCTTATCTTCATGAAGAAGGTACATGAGGTTCATCTGAGAACCCTCCCAGTGGACTTCTTCCACTAGGCGTCCACATACTCGTACCTCAGTTCTCCAAATGGAACAAGCAATAGTAATAAAAGAAAACCATACACACATAGGTACATGTATGTGTTCATATTATAGACTAGGTTTTTTCCTACTGTAACTATGATGTTACGGAATGTAAGACTCTTTTAATTGACATACTTTTCAGTATAGTTCTAATTTAAGGTTAAAGACATATACTGACCAGCCTTGCACATGCTTTCTTAGTTCTCTTCATGTACTCTCCTACTTCTTGTACTCTCCTACTTCTTTATATCTTAGTAGGTCTTTGGTAGATTACTTCAAAATTACTTGAAAATAATCATTTAATAAACAGAAACATAAAAGATACCTTAATATACCTTAATCCACGGTTATTTGGAAAAAAATAAGTGGGGGGGGGGGGGGAGGGAGGAGGTATGTTATAGCTGGGGATAGCAACCACATGCTACTAATGCTAGTATTTTCAAAATGCTAGGAGGTAGAGAGAAAGTGTATTTATAATACATTTATATATAAATGTGTATTTATATTATTTATATTTATATTTCATTGGTGGTTAGGTTAGGTAACTTATAAAACTCATGGTTTATATCCTTTGGACTACTATAATATTTTTCCAAAGGACAGTTAATTGTTTATCCCAGAATAATAACAATTTAAAAAACCCAAAACATATAAAACTGAATAACAATTCATAAAACTGAATAACAGCATTTGCTGCCTTCACCTCTGCCACCTAGACTACGGACCTCACTGGTCTAATCAGGACAGGTCTGCACAAAGAAACATCATCTCTTTCTTCATCACTGTAATTATCTCTGGCCATTTTGGTAAGCTTAAGCTAATTGCTACTGTGAAAATGCTGTTTCAATTTTTCTTCATCACTCTGTCTCATGTTTGCACAACTAGCAGTACCCATCTGAGAGATAAAGTGGTCTCGCTATGGCATCTGCCAGCTCCCTTAGAGTTCTTGGGTGAATCCCATCAGGGCCCCTCCCCTTGGGATCCTGAACTTCACCATCTCATAGTCACTGCAGCCAAGGCAGCACTTGACCTTGAAATTTCCCAAAAGTTGCTTGTTGTTGAGTAGTCCAGCAAAGCACTTCTCATTGGCTTCTGTATCACTTGGAGAGGAAGCTATCATCAAAGTACCGTCGGAAACTCCTGGTTTGCTATGGCACCCTCCAACACTCCACTCATCCTTCCTATTTTGGAGTTAGTTTTTCTGCCCATTTAGCCCCCTGAACTTGATCAATGTGGATCAAATAAGTAAAAATGCTCCAGTTTCTGCATGTCCTGGTCCCTTTGTATGTTTCACACTTAACCTGAGAAAGAAGTATTTTGATAACACCAACATTTCTGTGGAGAATTTTAAGCATGTTGGGATGGGCTAGGGAAGAAACTGTGAAATGCAGGTCTAACAACCCACCTAATTAAAACTCCCGGGGCAACATTTTCTTTGAAGAAATCAATATTCTTACCTCTAAAGCAAATTGTCAAAACAAAAGCCCATTTGACTCTGAATTTCTCCTCCTGGCTATTTAGTGGAAGGGAAAAGTTCATTTACTTAGATA